TCCTCATTGGAAGAGAGGACAGTGGGGGTACATCAGAGTTCCACTAGCCTCTGCTTGTCTGTGAGCAGGGGATGGGGATTTTTCCCTGTGCTTTGATCTGCGGTATATAATCCAGTGCAGCTGTGGAGTCCAGGCCCGTTCAATATACACACAGAAATCTTGAAAATGAATTGGGAATTGTTAGCAGACTGAGAGAAGTCCAGTGAATGTGAAACTCCAGCAGATGTGGGGATCCCCGTTTCCTCCCTTCCTCCTTCTGTCGTCCTCTTGTGCTCACTTGGACCCAGATACCGTTTCTCAAACTAAGCTTGCATCTTGAAGAGAACAGTATCTGACTTCCAAAAATGTCAGCAGAAGCCAAATAATTAGGGGAGAGCCTGTAACAACAGCGTGCATCCGAGCCTGGAGCAGGAAGGTATGTCAGAGCTCAGCCTGGGTGTGTCGATACCCAGGGATCCCCAGCTCTTCACAGCAGAACTATGTAGCAAGCCACCATGGCTCATTCTCCTTTTGTGGTCCTCTTCAGCAGAGACAAAGCTACAGAGCACGTAGATTTTCATGCAGTAAATGCTCTTGTTTCTTGGTCAAACTTCATTTGAAAACTAGAAAACTCGCATTCCAGTGTGGGAGTGGAAGTGGACTTGAAGACAGCAGCAGGGTAAAGAAGACTTCAAACGCCCCTTAAATATGAGAGTGGGAGTTTTCTGTGCTGAAAAACAGATTTGATATTAAGAGCTTTAAGTGACTTTCCTGTTTGAAAGCTTTATAGTAAACAAAATGTGATTAACTCCCATAGTGACTCATTGCAGGAAAGATTTTGATTTTCAGTATGGTGCCTTTCTATCATATACTTGTTTTAATTATCCCTGCTGAATAACAGAGCTTGATAACAGCTTGGGCAAGGTAGGAGGGAAGGTCATCAAGATAGCTGTCCTTTTTTAATATTCCAGCATTCTTGCACAGAGCCTTTCTTAGTGTCTGTCCTGCCACTGACAGGGCTGCCGGCTGCAGCACATCCTGTGAGATGCTATCATCGTATCCTGTAATTTTAGAAAAGGTTCGAGGGGCAGAGCGAGCTGCGGATGATTCGGGAGGGGGAGATGAAGCCATGACTGTTGACAGCGAGTCTGTCTTGTCCTTGCCTCCATTGCTCCGGCCCTTGCAAAGTGATGGAGAAGAGAGTGAGGGGATCTGCTGAATAACTTGTTAGAGAGTCAACCTGCAGAGCAGCCGCTGGTACCCACCGCTCTGCTTTCCCATCCCACCAGTCTTGTATGATAGCACTTTGCATCCATCGTGATTTTATCTGTGCCTTCTGGACCAGCTCAGCTTGTTTTTTTGTGGTGGTGGTGCTGGTGGGGGGTGTTGCTTTCATCAGGATGCAGATGACCACCTCCAGGTCCCGACTGTCTCTAGGTCTGAGCTCCTGGCATGGGCCCATTTGAGCCACACACGGAGCCACCCCAGGCCGTTCCCATTGCAACCTGGGTGAGACAACAGCATGTGCGAGGTTTTAAGGTGCCTCTGGAGGCTGCTGGGAGGGCTGGTGCTCAGGCTTTAGTGTAGCTTTTGGGGAGTTTTAGAGGTCTGGAGGCCAGCAAGGTATGTGCAGAGTACCAGCATCCTGCAGGCTGCCCGCCCTCAAGGGAGAGAGTGTGCACCACAGTGCTCCGGGACCCTTCCTCATTCCTGTGTTGTGCAGAGCAGCGTCAGACACCACAGAAACCTCTGCCTTATATTGGTACTTTCTTTATCAACCCCTTCAGTAAAATAACGATTACCCTTTACTATATCTCCTTCTTCTTTCTTGCTGGTTATGACAGCGTCAGTTTGCTCTTTTGCATCTGTAGCATTTGCCTCTGTGAGGTGATGCTTTTCCTGCGGCTCGTAGTTGATGTTGGGAGCTTGTTGCTGTCGGTATGTCTGTCTGTCTGTCAGGGTTTAACCCCAGCTGGCAGCTCAGCCCCACACAGCCGCTCACTCGCTCCCCCTGATGTGATGGGGGGGAGAATGGGAAGAGTAGACATGAGGAAACTCATGGGTTGAGGTAAAGACAGTTTAATAGGTAAAGCAGAAGCCGCCGCACAAGCGAAGCAAACCACGACATTCACTCACCCCTTCCCATCGGCGGGCGGGGGCTTGGCCATGGCCGGGACAGCCGGGAACGTCACACGGAAACGTGTCTTGGGAAGACGGTTCACCCAAACGTCCCCCCCTTCCTTCTTCCAGCTCTATAAGCTGAGCATGATGCCACGTGCTCTGGGATATCCCTTGGGTCCGTTGGGGTCAGCTGTCCCGTCTGTGTCCCCCCAGGTCCTTGTGCCCCCCCAGCCCCCTCACTGGTGGGGTGAGGAGCAGAGAAGGCCTCGACTCTGTGTGAGCACAGCTCAGCAATAACGAAAACATCCCTGTGTTATCAAAACTGCTTCCAGCACAAATCCAAAACACAGCCCCGTACTAGCTACTGTGAAGAAAATTAACTCTACCCCAGCCAAAACCAGCACACCAACATTTTCTTCATTGGCCACAGGATCATATTGGGTACAGATGGTCCTGCCTGAGGGGGACTTTCATCCTTCTCTGAGAGATGTGCCGTGAGGAGTTGGGGCTTTTACTGCCTTAGGTCTACTAAGTTCTCCAGGTTTATTCTTGACTAAAAATTAACAGGATGTAAATTACCTGGATTCATGAATTTTGAAAATGTGTAATAGTTTCTGTTTACTGTCTTCTTCAGTTAGCACTGAATTTTTCATTTGTTATGACTAGGAAAAAAAACGGAAAAATAATTTGGAACAGCCGATGGGTGAAATCTGACTGAGCACAGCAATGTACCTGATAGCAGGTGTAATTTAAGGGCGTAAATAGCCCTATTGAAAACTACTGGGGTCACCTGTATTCACAAAGACATACACGTCTAAACATCATCTGGTATAAGGCTCAGACCAAGAAAGGTGCCTATTTTCTATTAATTTACCAGCCAAATAAGCTTGTAACTATTTTTGTAGATCTTTGTTTGCTTAAGAAAGTCTATGTTGGGTTAAGCCCAAGGTCCAACTAACTTCTTGTATTGTCTCTAATAGCAGCCATTACGAGATACTTGCGGAGGAATATAAAACATAAAGTGATGTTCTGAGGCAGCTCCCTGCAGCTCCTGGCAGTCAAGTGGATTAGGGACTTTCCAGGGAGGAGGTTGTGTTCAGAAGTTACCCCAAGCCCATCCTCTGGGATCATGGCTAATTCCTTTTAAACACATTTGTACTTTTGGCTCCCATAAAGTAAATGATTTGCTGTGTGGAAAAGTACGTCTTTTGTTCATTTGTAAACCAGCTACTCAATCCTTACATCCGATTGCCTGTACGTCTTGTGTCAGGAGAAACGGTCAATAATCGTCCCAGTTGACCCTATCAGGAGTTACTGGACTCTGGTCTGTCCTCTCTTTTCCACACTCAACAGCATATGGGCTGTATATGGGCTGTATATGGGCTCTTGGACATCATACAACCCACATCCAGCCTTGGGAACTGGATACTTAACTTAGGAGATCTGGACAGTTTTGGGGGCCTTTAACTGGAATTTGGAATTTTTTCTTGAGCCCCAAACCTGCTAAATTTTGTTTAATGCTGCAAGTGAAGATTCTTTTTTTCAGCAATTTGGATGAAACCAATAGGTCAGGGTGTGCTGTAGTACTGGAATCTCCTCCTCCTCTGAGCTCTCAAATTTTAGCACTGAAAGGTCCCTGGTCTCTTCTTGAAAACCTCCCCTATTGCAGATGTAAAGAAACTTCAGGATGCTCCTGCTGTAGCAGCAAGGAGTCCTTACAGAAACTCCCTGTATTTTCTACTAAGGAAGGCAGGAACATTATAATTAGGGCAATGTCAGAGGTAGGCAAATACCCCCTAATTGTATGCAGATGATAGAGCTGGTTCAACCTTTTGACTAGTGAAGCTTTCCTCAATTTGGGATATTGTGATCCTAATCAGGGACCTTTTGGCATACATCAAAGCGGTCGGGCTGAACCCGCATACCTTCGGGCTGGCACGGCTTGATTGCAAAGGCTTCCTGCTAGCAGGCTCATCCCTGGCCAGGTGTCCTTCCTGCTGTGGACGACTGATTCCTTTCTACTCTTCATCATTGAGGCAAAGAAATTTAATCCCAATATTACTGCCAGCCCTGGAATGGGCCCACTGGTTTGGAAATTTCACCCTCTTGTTGCCCTGAAATATCAATGCACAGCAACCTCTGATACCTGCTTATTTCATTGCCAACCTCTAACCTAAGGTGGGGCAGACCTGTCATTAGCGCATTCATCTGTGTTTAGATCTGTCAGCTTCCTTCCCCTTCTCCTCTTTTGTTTCTCTAATTACTTTGATTGCATCTCTGTATCCAGCTCAGGGCTGGTGAGGCTGCCTGGTCCCCATCCCAGTCTGTGTCACTCTTTCCTTTTCTATAGGGACAACTTTGCCAGAGTGAGACAATTGGATCTGGATTTTAAAATTGTGATTGCAGCTGTGTTTGGGTCTGCAGGTAACTTTTCAGTCTGTTATACAGAAATGTCCCAGGGGTAGAGTTTGGTTTACAGGCTTTTCCTATGGTTTATCAATGCTCTGTGCCTCCTACCCAGCAATGCTGGGCTGCTCACAGCCGCTCTGCAGAGACTCGGCTGGGGGTGAAGCATCTTCCAACACCCTTTAAGTGACATGGCATATTCCACATGGATTTTGTGTCAGATTTTCAGTAAACAGACAGTGGAAGGACTTGTTTTGGAGCTTTCATTGGGTTATGTTGCCTCGGGGGGGGTGGGGGGACAACTGGGCCTGGGATGCAGATGTGCTGTGGGTCTCCGGGGGGTCATTCCAGCCTTTGTGCTTCCCTGCTGTTACAGCTCTCCCTGTAATTTAACCACTGTCTTTGGTATCTTGAGCTAATACCTTGACATACAAGATAAAGTAAAATAAAATATTTGTGACAGTATTTTTTGTCTTTATTTTTCTTCCCCCCAGGGTCTCATTAAAATTCGAGGAGATCGCTGCTGGAGAGAGTTAACTTGTATGGATTATCACTACGAGGTGAGCAATCTGCACGTTAAAACCAATTTCTCTTATCTGCTTTACTTTGTTGGAAAAATTTTCTCTAACTTTTTCTCTTCTGCCAGGCAGCTTTGTTTTCTTTCTTTATTCTTCCATGTTTTCTTTCTTTATTGTAGCCTTCTGTCTCTGGCAATGCAATCAATGTCCATGTGCCAGTTTGGTGATGCTGTTTTTCCCAAAGACCAGTTTCTCTCCTTCCCTCCCATCACCATCATGGACTGATTCAGCAGCAAACCTGAGCCTCACTTGAGAACTACCTCTGTAAAAATGCTGCCGGAGAGGGACAGAAAGGAGTTTTCTGTAGCATTGTGCTAAATGCTTTCTGCTTACGTTCCCAAAATGCAGGCATATGTAGACAGAAATAGAGCATCCCGCCGCTCTCCAAGATGCAGAGCACTAATCGTTGGCAATTCAGAATTATACGGTTTTATCTTTTTGACATCTGTTTCAGTGATTACATTGCATTCTGATTATAAACTGTGGTTTGTATTCTGGCACTGAGTGTTGTCTCCTCTTTGATTACAGAGAGGAGCTCAGCTTCCCCTCTCTTTGTACCTATGTTTTTGCATTTGCGTTTTGTATAAACAGTGATAGAAAAGAAAGAAATTGCTGTGTACAGTGATGCTCCACTGGGAGAGTAACCCTGGTTTAATGAAGGTACCGAAGCAACATTCCCTTCTCTAGATTCACATTGCAGAAAAAGGCAGGCTGCATTATAACGCCTCTGCTCTCTAGTCCATGGCCACCTAACGAGCAGCCAAGCGGACTGTCTCTGAGCACGAGGCTGCAAAGTCCCTGGTGCTGCACTCACCCCATGATGGTAAGACCCGGGTACCTCTTCGTGCCTCACTTACTTTCAGCCAGCAGGCCTCAGCTGTCAGCCCCGGGAGATGTACCTTTGGGGTGACATTCTCAGCGGACCTTCATCATGTCTGGAAACCATTTCCCCCTTCCAATTAAACCTGGCAGAGCCTGACTTCTTTGACCTGCAGAACATGTTCCAAGGTGTTGCCTATGAATTACTTTTTTATGGGGTAGGCACGCTGAGCAGTGGAAACGGGGACGCTCGTACAAGACCTCTGTCTTTCCACCCCTGTGTGAAGAGAATTGTGTGTGAGTGCCAGGGACCCCATTACCAGTCCTGTTACAGGATTGGGATTCTACTCTCCCCAAGAGGGGAGAAAAAAAAACCAAAAACCTATCCATTTCCCAGGCGCTGACACCTTTATTTTTTGCTTCTGTGACTGAGTTAACTGGTTGCACGTTTTGAAATGGAATTTTACAGGTCCAGATAACTGTATCTGCCTTTTCAGCTTTAATGCTCCTTTTTTTTTTTTTTTTGTTATTATCATTGACTTTCAATGGGGTTTCACCCACTGAATGCAAGGATGACCTTTTACGAGGGCTGCTGCTCTTGTTGGACCATCAGTGTCCTGCTTCATTCTGAGTAAAACTTTGGATGCAAAGACCCTTCAGTGTTGTCGTTCTTAATCCCGAACACAAAGGCGGCTGCAGTAAATTGCCCTCTTTTTTTCCCTAGCAGCGCAAGGGCTCTGCTCCGCGTGCTGCCAGGCACCTGGCAGCAGTCTGAGAAAAGCCAGCTCAAAGCGAGCCCCCCAGAATCCCCCGGCCGGCTCCGCTGGTGACCCCAGCCCACAACAGTCAGCCTGCATAATCCCAAATATTTCAAATCAAAACCAGAATCAGTTCTGTAGCCCAGAAGGCTAATTAAGACCATGCCTGTCATATCCATAACGCAGGATCCCCAGCCTGTGCAAGTAATTGGGAACAGGGGCAGGGGGCAGATCACATTATCAATATCAATTATTTTAATCCACACAAAAGAAGCTGCAATAAAAGGAAAATGAAAGAGGCCAAACTTTGTCTACCAGCAATAACAGACAAAGGACTGCAATTCACCTGCTGATTTCAGCCAGCCAGAGGGAGGAAGAGAAGGGTGAAGCTGAAGATACTTCTGCACAAGGAGGAGGGAGGGAGGGAGCTGGGAATCTGCTCGTAATTAGGATGATAAAACTGGGTATTGGACCAGCTCGTAAGTGGACCTGGGCCAAATGTAGTCTGCTGTGATGTATGTTGGCCACCCCAGCTCTCCTGTTCCAGTCCTGAACTGCAGTCCAAAATCTACATGGGCTTCTCTGCCAAGAGAATTAATGAAAACACATGGCCTCCATCTCTCGCGTGGTGAGCGCGCTCCGGACTATTTATTTGTAGTAGAACCAGCAGCTATGCTCGTGGAAAATAACATTTCCACTTTTGTCAGGAATCGTGTATAAAATAGTAAAACGTTGTTATGGCTTGGGTAATTAAACGGAGCATATTTTTCCTCCCTCTTTCCTTTCTAATGTGCAGGGCCTTGATCCCAGCCTTTCTGGAGATCAGTTCCTCAACTGAATACTCTCTGTATAGAGGCCTTACGATCTGTGACGCTGTGTAATTTGGAGAGGGAAATGGCGGAACGCATGGTTTACATAGGGAAGGTATTTTCCTACCAGCCTAACTTTCCTCTGCTCCCCGAGGAGTAGATGGGCTCCAGTAAGTGTGGAAGAGAAAGGCAGACACTGATGGAGATGAAAAGACTTTGCTATTGCTACACCACCATACACAGCCTGGCACATGGAAACTACCCGGGGGCTGGTGTGAGGTGTGGGGTAGAAACACTCAGCGGATTAATCATGACTCTGGGTGCCAGGAGTCCCAAGATCTAATCCCAGCTTGGCAAGACACCGTGAACACGGAATTTAACCTCCTCCTGCATTAGTTTCTTTGCTAACATGGCCAGAGGCTCCAAGGTAGGCACATATGTTTGCACCCTGGTGTGTGTGCAGGTCGGGGTTCCGGGTGCCCATGGTGCCCCGGAGCTTCACATACAGCAGTGTCCACATTACCATGTGAAAATGGACAAGCCTGGGTGGTAACTGGCAGGTGAAGTCCTGGGGTCTGATGTGCCATGGGCTTGCCTTATTTACCATTCGTTGGGTTTGTTGTCGTCTCACAGCTGGCTGCGGTTAGATGGCTTTTTTCCCTATAAGAAGGCGTCTTTTTCTCAGTGGAACCTGTTCCTGACGCAGTTACTGCAGCGGGAAGCTGCTTCTGGGTTTTAGGTCTGTTTGTCATCATGATTATTAAGCATTTATCTACTGTGTACACAATGGTTTACAAATATGTGCGCAGCGGTTTGCAGACTGGAGCTGGGTTTCCTCTTCCACTGGAGCACATGGCACGGGTCCCGCGGCCTTCGGCGGCGGCACGCCCGCGGGGCGAGATGGAGTGGCCTCGGCTCCCTGCTTGTGTGAGACGTGGCTCAGCGTGTCCCTCTGACTGTCCCTGCCTGCTCCAGAGGACATCCTTCACCCCCAGCAGAGTGCAACACTTCCCTCCCATAGCCAGGCTCCCATATGCACCAGGGAAAATACCTGCTATGGAAGGTTTTATGCCACTTGAGGCCGTTTCTTGCAGCCCATCGCCCGGGCGTGAGCTGGGCAGCTCTAACCACAGTTAGTAGGTACCAGGTCTGTGAGCCAGGCATGGAATGAAGGAGCACCAACTTGCTCCCCAGGGGCCTCTCACCACTCCCTCCTGCGCCAAGCTTTATCTGGCCCGAGCTTTGCTAATTCTGGGTGTGCTGCTTAGCTGGCACAAGCACAATGTCTTAACATGCTCCAAATGGAGAAAATCCTCTTGTGGAAGACCCATATTTTAAAATCTCCCCACCAAACCTGCAGCTCTCCAACCCTCGCGCTTACACTGCAGAGCACCTTGCGACCATATGTCTTGGCACAGACCAGGTTTGAGTGGCACAGGTAGGAGATGAGCATTTCTGACCTGCAACCAGTCCAAATGGAGCCTGCGTTCTGGGCTGCTGGTGGTGGTCTTGGCAGAGCAGTTGAGCAGATAATCTTGGGGGTTTAGAAATGGGAAGGTCCTACATGGTCCCATCTATCGTATCTCCCCGTATTTCAGTGCAGAAGTACTCCCCATGGGATGCAATCCAGTGATACATTTTTATAATGGCTGCCAAAGTATTGTTGCTTTTTAATTACAGACAGATATCTTGTAAAATTCAGCCACCAACTGGTAGGAACAGCTGCCGAAGCAGCTGCTGGGGCAGGCGAGCGTGTGGAGGGGAGCCCTGCTGGGCCGCCTCCTCCTCCTCCTCCTAGAGTCCCTCGTGTCCCAGTGGCCTGTCCTCAGCTGGGCAAGCTCAGAGGTGCAAGCCATGGCATGCATCAGGCAAGGAACCTGTGGCCCTTCCACTCACTACTGGAACTTGTATTTTATATTTTTAATTTCAAGGTAATTTTCTTTAAGTGATGTTTTGAAGGGAATGCCTTTTATCCCAGAGTTTCTCAATAATTTGCATCCCTTGCTGTGGAAAACCAGGCTAGGAAGGCAAGCTTACTACTGAGACAGAGGTGAGGCAGAGGGATAAAGGGAAAGTAAAACAAAAACCCACTCCCAAAGCAACAAAATCTCTATTGGCGTTGAAAGTAAGACCCAGGATTTGCTTCCCTGCTGTGGAGTTACCTGTTGGTGCTCAGGATGGGTCGGTTGCCACAAAGCAGGAGAGTTTAAAGGACTTTGCTGAACGAGCCTCTACTTAATAACTGAGTCACATTTTAGCTCTGAATTTGTCAGTGCTGCTGAGAAAAGCTTTGTTCTTTACGTAAGACGCTGCGCAGCCACAAAGGTCATTTCTTCTGATTTGTACAAATTGTCGCTAATTATTCTGTAACTGTTTTTCTTAAATAGAGGCTGTCAATCAGTGCTCCAGCTTCTGCGCACAGCAGCTCTCCAGTTCCTGGAGAAGCTCTCCAGAGCACAATGTCTTTTATACCTAATTACAGGCTTGCTGACTGATAGCTGTGCTGATAAGGATGAGAAGGAAGCTCTAACTGCTCTTTAACTGCCTCTTGATTTCTTTTCTCCCTTCTCTTCACTGTATTAGACCTTGTTAGACT